TGTATATAAGATATTGTATACATATGTATATAAATTGTATTTCAGTCAAAAGACATTGGTAGATATTACAGAGATGATACGCACTAGCAATTTGATACACAGAGGAATAGTGAACCTAAATACAGATATAGGGTCTTTGGAATCATCAGAATTGGACAATATAACTTCGAGTAATAAAATAGCATTGCTACTTGGTGATTACTTACTGAGCTACAGTTCCAGTAAATTAGTAGCTCTGAAAAATCAGGATGTAAGTACAGTTGCTATTTTTCTATCTTACGTTGTAAGTTTAATTTATTAGAAGAGAGGAAATTAAAGTGAAATGTTTTTTAAATTAAGATGCTTGTAATTAAAGAAACATTGTAACTTTCAGCTTGTGTTATTAATATCGTCCGCATTTAGAGATATGTGCCAAGTAGAATTTGTAGCACGCAGGGACGATCAAAACTTTCCCATACCAGTAATACCACCTAAAGATCGTACAGGCTACGCACTGAAGGAGTGGACGTTGTTAAACACTTACGCTGGATCGTTGCTTGCGAAAAGTTGCCAAAGTACATTAAAAATTGCTGGTCACAGCAAAGAAATAGAGGAGAAAGGTTACGAGTTTGGTAAACATTTAGCTTTAGCTTGGCAGGTGACGTAAACTGTACATTAAAACCTATTTTTGCAATAATTTACTGAAACTATCGATATATATCTTGCAACAATTACACAATTACGTTTCTACAGGCGTCCTTGGACCTGGGCTTGTTTATTAATAAAGATAAGGAAATTGTACATAATTTGTGCGCGGCTCCAATTATGTTCCACGTTGAACATGACCCATCAATTTTGATAGAGCTCGATAAAGGATTAAAATCAGTTGAGAACGTCGACTATTTAAAGGTACTTTTTCATGTCAATATTCGATAAGATTTATGCTGGAATAAATTCTTTTCCCTAGTCATATGTTGAATAAAATGTTGATTTATATGAGTAATATTTCATGTATACGTAGGTGCTTGAAATTGTCACAGCTGGTCCAGGCATTGGATTAACTAAAGAGCTCGTGAAGGAACACTCGCAAAAAGCAATGGAAATCTTAAATGTGTTTAAGGAAAGTGATGCCAGAAAGGCACTATCCAATATTATTGTTGCCATAGGTGACGTTTAACAAATAATATACTTTTTATTATTTACTTATAAGTAAACAATTTTAGAGTTATATATATATATACATATATATGAATAAACATCAGCATTCTCAGTTGATATTCAATATGGAGTTGGTTGTGACATGTCACATCTAACCCCGACTATTTGTAACTTTTAACCCCAACCCAAAATCGAACATTCAATATGCAATGAAAAAAATTTACTGAATCCTTGGCATATTTACTTTATTTTAGCACAAATGGGAATCCTCAAGGTTCATATATAATACAAATATATTGCTATAATACTAATGATAACAGCGGGAGACCAAAATTACAAAGAAAAAGAAGAATTACTAACCTGCTGTTTTCGCCTGCTACGTGCACTATGCATAAGTTAACACTACTAGCGCCACTAGCAGGTGTGGCGTGACAGCTGACGTTCCGTCAAATATTTTCTCTTTGTGGCATTGCTGTACCATAGGTTTTTCATTACTTTTAAAGACTGTAACTTTTTACCCCTGTAACATCCAACCCCGGTCTCCCCTACTCCCAACTGGAGTAGGCTCCACTGATATGATTGATACTTTTTTAACATTA